ATTGTCATTGGATATAAATATTGTATTTACCGTACAATTGAATTAATGATTGGTTTTGTAATACATGTATTGTATAATAATATTGTGTGTTTAATAAAAAAATTTATTTACTGTAAAAAGATATTGATTGGAATATTATAATTGAATTGTGTTTCTTTTGGAAATTGTCTGGATACTTGCATAAAACAAATATTAATACATTAAACAAATTGCAACATTAGATCACATTAAATTCACTTTAAATTTTTCATTTTAAGCGTCATTTTAGTTATTGTTGCCTAACATACCTTATAATAAATGACCATTCTCATTGAAAATAATAACAAATAATTTTCTTAAAGTCTTAGTATTTGTTGCAAAGTATAGGTAGAATTTAGTGAATTATATCGATTTATATATTACTTGACATAAAATATAATGATTAAAACTATTGAATAGATGAAGTAAAGAAATTATTATAATTTTTATTATAATGAATAAACTTTAATTTCTATGGAAATATCGCACGAAATATTAATTAAATAATAAATAATTATTCTTTGAATTGTATTTGTAATATTTTTATTATTCATTTTCAATGTGAATGGAAATTAATAAATAATAAGTTTTATAAGAAATTGCGAAATATTTCTTCATTTAATTCATTGAATTTTCAAACCATAATATTTGTTTGAAAATAGTTTGATAATAACTATGAGAATAATAGTCAGAATAAACAAAAGTAGATAAAACTATTGATAAAATTGTGATGAAAAGTAGTGGTCGTCATATAAATGGCAATCATATTTTAAATACATTTGAATATCACATATATTAATAACAGTTGTATCGATGATTAAATAATAACAACAGTTGATAAAAACTATTAAGTATATTTATAAATAAATTAGGTACATTTAAGACAATAGCAAAGTATTATTATACAATAAATTATTATAAATATTTTATTTTAAGTTTATCTGGCTGTGTTTAATTCTAGTTAATAGTCTTATAAAACTTAATGAATGCATTGAATTGAAAAACAGACCATTGGTTGCGATATTATCTCAAAAATACTATTCACAACCCTCTAAGTCATATATAGCGGCCAGTTATGTCAAGTTTGTGGAAAGTGCGGGCGCTAGAGTGGTATGATATCTGTTTAAAATCGTTGTTTAACATAAATTTAAGTTGTTATCACTTTTAGATACCAGTTATGATAGACAGGGATGAGAACTACTATCGAGATATCATTAATAAGACAAACGGACTGTTGATTCCGGGCGGAGGACAGGATTTGTTAACATCTGGTTATGCAAAGGCCGGCCGACTATTATGGCAATTGTCGACCACAGAGTTTAAAGACAGAAAGTATCCGATTTGGGGCACATGTCTGGGCTTTGAACTCATCATTCAATTCTACGCCAACAACACTCTGAGTGATTGCGATGCCATCGATGTATCCAATAGTTTGACATTTGTTGAGCCCATTCAAGACAGTAGACTCCTTCAGGATAAGTCCATTGTTGAAGTAATTTTAAATTCATTTTAATTTGTCAAATACTGTTATAAACCTGAATATTGTTTGCGTATAAATAGATTCTTGCGGGACAAGAAGTTACTTATAATTATCATAAAAAGTGCTTAACATTGGAAACTTTTAATAAGACACCGGAACTTAAGAAAAATCTTCGGTTATTATCTACGAATAAGGATAAGAAAGGTTTAGATTACGTGTCAATGTTTGAATCCATCAATTATCCCATATATGGGGTTCAATGGCATCCCGAGAAGAATCCGTTTGAATTCGCATACAATGCAAAGTATCTGAATATTCCTCATAACTCGAGTGCCATTAAAGTGAGTCAATACATGTCCAGCTTTTTTGTGGACGAGTGTCGCAAATCAGTCCATCCTATTGTGAATGCCAAAGAGGAGTCCGATTCACTTATATATAATTATCAACCTGTATATACCGGTGGGAAGACAAACTATACCTACGAACAGATATATCTATTCAATTCACATAAACCTAATCATTGGTCCGTTTCTATCGGGTTTCTGATCATTACTGTTATCTTAGTTCTCAATCTCTCTGTTATTTGATTCAATCATTTTTGTTTATAATTTTATTTATTTTTTTATTTAGTTAATCATTGGTTCTATGAAATTCTGTGTCTGTATTTTATCTGATCATTACTGTTATCTTAGTTCTCAATCTCTCTGTTATTTGATTCAATCATTTTTGTTTATAATTTTATTTATTTTTTTATTTAGTTAATCATTGGTTCTATGAAATTCTGTGTCTGTATTTTTTATCTGTATCTTAAAGCACTTTAAAATAAATATTGGCATAAAATATTCTTAATAAGTTTATATTCACTTATTATTTAACTAATAATCTATTTTTGTATACTCTTTCACTGATAAATAAAATAAGTCATTGCAAACAAACCCTTAATTTTTAATAAATCTCGAGAATTAATTTGATTAATTTTTTTATTTTGTTAATCATTGGTAGCATGAAATTCTGTGTTTGTATTTTTAATCACAAATTTGTTGCAAACTATGTGGTTTCTAATTTAATAAATTTTATAAAAATGAATTCATAATTAAAAATAATATTTATGACAAACCAAGAACCTACAGAAAACCTTATCGTAACAATAGGAATAAATTTAAATAATTAGATAATGTAAATGCCACAAAAAATTAACTAGTACACTACCTATAGAGACGGTCACTTTAAGTCGAGCATATTTACAGTAAAGGCATGATTGTAACTCTTTAAGTATTAAAAGTACTGTACTGGTACTATAAAGTATACACCCATTTATTATAGAAAAGGACAGTTTCAGAAACAATTCATTATAGAAATAAAGTATTTATTAATAATTGTAAAAATCAATGAAAACATCATAAAAAATATTTACATTTGTTTCAAATTGAGTATAAAATAACGTAAAAATCCCTGAAGTGAATGATAACTAATGAGAAATTGAAACAATTAATTGAAACAATTAATTCAAACATCAATTTATAGCCAATAAATGCTGAGAAGCGATTCTACGGCCTTTCAAAGCACTCGATTTGCACTTTAATAGCGCCGGACGTCTGAGAACTGGCCGTTTCGAAGGCCTGCACCGCCTCTTCGATACGATATGTATGAGTAATGAGTGGTTTGACATCCAGTTTGCCCGAAGAGACCAGATATATGGCGAGTGGGAAGCTGTGTCGGTAGCGTTTGATGCCCAGTAGGTTCACCTCACGACAGGCCGCCGAGGACAGGAAGACCGTCACTTTGCGGTGATTGAGGCCAACCATCACTACGTTTCCGCCGTCTTGTGTCACATAAATGGCTAAATTGAGCGAAGACTCGGCGCCACTGCACTCCAGGGTTATGGTAGGACTACCGCCTAATAGGTCGACCACTTCAGTGGCCAGGGCTTCGGTGTCCAGTTTCATGTTAATCAGTAGTGTCTTCGCAATACCCATTTGTTGGGCAAATTTCAGTCGATTCTCATTGATGTCCAAAATGCAAACGTCTTGAGCGCCCAATGCTTTAGCAGCCATAGCTGTCAGTAGACCCACTGGTCCGGCACCGGTAACCATAACTTTTTGTCCCGAGCCTTCAGTAATGCCCGCTCTTTTGCAGGCATAGACAGCCACAGCCAATGGCTCCATGAGAGCCCCCTCAGCGTAACTCATATTATCGGGAAGTCTATAAAAATAATTTAATATTAAAATAAAGTTTTCATAAAGTATTCATGAAATCAATTACTTGTGACAAAAGGCTGAGCTGTGATTATAATATCTTCGTAGTGAACCTCCAGTGGGAGGAACGGCATGGAAGAGGACATCGGGACACAAGTTATAGAAGCCGTCTTTGCACACCTGACAGGACATACAGCCCACTCCCGGCTCCACTGACACTCTGTCTCCCACTTTGAGATTCTTGACATTAGGACCAACTTTGATGACAGTAGCACTGGATTCATGTCCGGTCACTATAGGCTCGTTAATGACCCACTTGTCAATACACCCGTCTTTCCAGAAGTGTACGTCTGAACCACAGATTCCCACTGTATTTGAGGCCAACTGTACCTCTAATGAGGTTTCAGATAGACTTGTGTTAAGAAATATACTTAGAAAACTAATTTATAACTCATATTTACCATATGGACCAGGCTCAGTTGGCAATTCTGTTTGCTCCACTCGCAAGTCTTCCTTTTTGTGGATAACAACCGATAAATTGTCTCTTTTGTCCATTTCTTGAATATAATGTGAAACGGAATCACAAAATAACTTCAAGTTTAAAAATAAGAGATTTGAAGGCTTTTTAAAAATATGTATTAAATTGTCTTTGAATTGAGTATTCAATAACAGCAGTGAATTGAATTCTTGAACATATTCTCGTCATCTTATATACACCGCAAAACTTGACAGACTTTCGTAATCATTGAATACCTTTATCTGAAAAAAGGAGTCAACAGTTGTCTTGTCTGATCCAATGGCACCGGTATGTTCAAGCAATTGAGAAATACTTTAGTGTTTTTTGAAAACTTGTGTTTTCTGTTTATGATTTTTATCATTTAAAAAATTACTACTATAGTGTACTTAAATCAAAACCATTTATTACTTACACCTTTTAAGCATAAACAACTTAATATTCAGCTATTAATAGACAATAATTGATTAATCTCGAAATTTAAAATTAAAACTTTTGTTTTATTAATATGATTTATGAATACAATTTAAAATATAAACAATGCAATTTATTAATTTAAATGTACTGTATCTCGAATGTATTGAAACGAGATTTTCATATTTTTCAGTATTTTTTTGATAACCTAACCACTGATATAAACAGGTCTTAACGAGTGATTAAATCAGGTTCTTATCTTTCTTGTAAATTTATTATCTGTTTTATCTATTACTACAGAATATTTTAGAAATTTATTTTAATTAAATTTTATTAAATTAAATTTAATTTAATTTAATTCATTCATTCAAACATCAGTTAAATATCAATAATCTCTTTTAACATCTTAAGCCCTGATGGTATGGTATGTTATCTTTATTTTATTTATAACTCCTTTTCACTGATAATTAATAAATATTGAAACAAAAAGCTTTAAATAAATTTATTTTATAAAAATCTTATAATATGTACGATGAGTGCATAAACATTTAATCCCAATACCAAATATTAATGGAAAACTACATGTTAGTCACATCCCCGATAATAATCTGCCTGCTTACATAAACAACCTAGTATTTTACTGTAAATAAATTAATTGTTCACGTGTTTTAGCACATCATTAACATTAAGATCCAATTAAAATAAATTTTTTGTGATGAAAAAATCGGCGAAAAAGTGAACAAATTATTTAAGTTTAAGAACTGATCATTTTTAACTAAACAATTTACAATAGTTTGAAATAATTAATTCTGTTTAAAATAACAATATTACAAAACAATAATTAAATTATAAATAATATACTGGTATATTGGCAAATAAGGAATTTTTATTTAATCTTTAGATATATTTCCATACATTTATAGATTCAAAAAATTATACTTTATTTTTTGCTAACTTAGGAATTTTTAGTATGTTTTATTTATATTACTACAGCATAATGGATTATTGTACTCAATAATGAAATAATAATAGATTTATTTATAATTACATAAATATATCAAAATTACATATTTATATATAAAATTACAATTAATTATGAGATAAGATTTATATAAATCGTATAACTAATGAGATTTCTATTTTAATTCGTATCAATTAATTCATAGACTGAACTTGAAATGAATGTATTTGGAAAAGAAATCAAGGATATTCCAGTTTATACCAAATTANTAGACTGAACTTGAAATGAATGTATTTGGAAAAGAAATCAAGGATATTCCAGTTTATACCAAATTATGACTTTAAAAACAAGCAGATAATGAGTTGAATCACATGTTTTGCGCAATGATTGGATTATAATATTTATTTAATAACATTTAATTGAAATATACTAAAAAATATTTTTAAAACTATAATTTTTTACAATGAATTTGGCGAACAAAATAAAATTCACGAATACGGAATCTTTTCAAATACAAATCATTTAAATATTACGGTACCAAAAAAATCCAATATTATTACTTTAATAAAGTTTTTTTTATTTAAAAGAATAGCATAATTTTATAAAATTATAACATTTTAAAAGTTATTAATTTTAAAAATATTATTTTACTATATTTAATATGAAATCATGAAATTCGTTGACATATGAATCATTAACACAATATTTAATACAGAATATATTCATTATAGTCACAATTGACACAATATATTATACTAATTGTAGTAATAGACACAAAATATAGTGAAATTGAATTGAATACAATACACGCATATCATAACCAGATTAACAATAAGCTTCAAAAGAATTGAAAATTTGTTCATTTATCGTATTTATAGAGAATTTGTTACTAAAGAAAATGCTCTTAAAAGACGGGGAAATAATTTACGAGAAAATTTAGACGTCTTTGAGGGAAATTTGTGCAAAAACTGTTGAATAGTCCCCTAAAACAACATAAATTGTAACCAAATAAAGCAGTTTAATCCGGTTCTCAAATCATTTCAAATTGTTGTTACATTTAGTAGTTTCATAGTTTATGAAATCAACAATTTTTATCATAAAATCTGTGTACAAATTAATGTGCAAATCATGTGTTGCGAAAACGAATCACAAAAAATTGTTTTCATTAATTGGTGTTAAAAACCAGATCTAACTTCAATTATATCATTGGGACGATTCAAAAATCCCATACTTTTTGAGTGAACAGTGTTTCAAATATTTAATTCACGTATTCATTAAATAATTATATTTTTCATATACTCCAGATAAAGGGGGATACTCCACATATTTGATGCATACAGTATATGAATAAATTAAGATTTCATACTAAACTTTGCGATAGTTTTCGCATTTATCGTTGTTATGTAAGATAAATTGCTCAACATATAAAACAATAAAAGCCTTATACTAAATGTTAGCAAGTAGAGTATAAACAATTGAATAATTGATAAATAAATTATGAGACAAAATATTCTGGTGTTAAATACAACAAATTGACAGAAATAGCTATTTTTAAATTAAAGGACACAAATGTTGTTTTTCATATACCATAAGATTAAAAATATTTATTCATATGATAAGCGAATGGCATAAAAGTTAAGACATTATAACACTGGTAATAACTATTTAAATAATTTCAAAGCAAAGTAAAAATGTAAAAATTCTGCTAAAAGTTTGGATTCATTGACAACATATTGAAAAAAGACATTCAATTAGAAAATCGACGCTTTAATTGAGTTTCACATCTCAGATATCTTTGGTGTCAACCTTTGGATTGTCCTCTGATTTCACGCGAGATTCGCATCCATTAAGACTCGACTTCTGTTGAGGACTCGTCTTAGTCTTGATTTCCTTTTTACTCACTCTATTGGCCTTTGATTTAGTCTTTGGCGGCAACTCTTCGGATCAAAAGACAGATAAAACCAAACGAATGAATAAATCGCGAGTAAATGTGACACAAACTGATAATCACTTGTCAATTGTTCCCGCAGTGAGGGCTCAAACGAAAGGAAACCCATGAGTTTGATGGTGGCGATGATCATCTCGGGTGTCAAGTGCTTACTCTTGTGGACCACCGCAGCCTTGGCCGCCACCGACAGCACGTAATACGTGGCGCTCTTATTGATGGCAGTGATGGCCTCCGAGGACACATGCACTCCAGTCGGCACCTGTTTGGGTGACCACAAGTCATGGCAAGTATCATATGTCGAGTGGATTTACCGCAGATTTCACGATGTCATTGATGATGTGTTTGGGAAGTCCTCGAGTGATGTCGCTCAGGGATATGGCCATCACTTGGCAGATGGTGTCCTATATGTGTGGACTCAAGAGTTGGTGACAATTGCAGTGAATTAATGAGTGAATTGTTGTCCAAAAGAAATGCTTTTTTGTGTTGTTTTGAAAGCAAAGCATTGTATGGCATATGCAGTGAAATGCATTCACCACTCATTGTCATTGTTTTCTCTACAGTTTCAACACTTTTATTCACTTTTCATTATTTATCAAATTGTGGCTCAATTTGTAATTTTATAACAAGTTATAAGTCTTTAGGAAAATTAATTACTTTTTAATATACTAAATATTCATTTAAAGATACAGTATTTATAAAATATAATTAATAACTAAAAATGTTTTAATTAGCAAAACAAAGTACCGGTAAAACAAAATTGATAACTTTGATATTAATTAACATAAAAAAGATTTCATGTGAGATACACAAATAGCTAAAATAATTTAAAATTGAGCTAAACTTGAAAACATAATCATTTGAGACAGTGTTCAATGTTAGGTTTGTTTGCAAACCACTTTGTCAACTTTTGCTTGATACAAGTTGCCAAATATCTCAATCTCGACACTCGAGGGTATGTTTGAGTTCTTCAAGAACTTGTCGTAAATGAGTCCAAATGCTAGCATTCGTTGACTTTTATGAGAGTAGAAATTTTTACGCACAAAACCAATGGCCTGGGAGTCCGACCAAATGGGTTCGAGTCCGCACACTATGGGTCTCTTGTTCTCGGGTCTGATCCAAACGTAATGCTTATTTTGGTCTTCGCTTCTCATATCTTTGTAATCCGTATATTGTTTTCGTTTGTGTTCACAGATATGAGTGTCGAGTCCCACATCCCATAGCATGTCCTCGGATCTCATGTCCAGACACCCGGACAGCCATTGGTTCTCGTTTTTCAGGGACTCGTAAGCTCTGTAACCGGCATTTGCTACCAAATCATTGGCTATGATTTTATTGTAAATTGTTTTCAAGTGTTGGCCGTTATTTAAATGCAATTCCCATCCCGTGTGAGACACTTGCGAGAAGCGTATTAAACGCATTTTCATAGCCTTTCAAATAAATTATTACATTTATATTTATAATACAAATCATTTATAAACTAGGTATTCATTGACTTTATAGATTATATTCTTACGTCTACTTCAATTTCCCGGTGAGTTTTGTCATCAATGTTTTCAAGTGAGATATTTAGACATTTTTCAAGAATTTCTGTACTTTTGGGGCCATTAATAGACAGAATTCCCACATCTTTTGACAAATCAATAATTTCTGTGTTTTTCATATTTTGGTCGTTAATTAAATTACAAAAATTGACAAAAACATGATTAGTGGAGATGTCGGCGCATGTGATGTAAAACTGATTGTCATTCACTTTATTGATGATAATCTCGGCTGTAATACCGCCTCTCGTATTGAGTAGATATGAAAGAATTGTTGAATTATTTAGCATTGATTTCACATCAGTTGGACTCAAGCTATCGATTACTTGCAGTGCATTCTCTCCGCGCACTAAATACTTAGCCATTGATGAGAGGTTGAAAAGAGCAGCCCTTTCATGACATGACTGGCATTCATATTTAATGGCTTTCCACTGGCGACTGTCCTCAGACCAGTCGTACGTGTTGTCCAAATCAATGTACTGCTCAGTGGTGAGTGGCGTCGACACTAAATCAAACCAATCCGGACACTGAATGCCATGTCTTTCGCGATACACACAACCATTACTCTTAAGCAACTCATATAACGCATCGCTGAACGTCTCGTTTCGGGCTTTTGTGTTGAATAAAAATTTTATTTTATTAAACTAAATCAATGCATGACATACATGGCAACCGTACCGCAGATTGGCTCATCAAACTGATAGATAATACCGTAGTTTCTGGCGTACGCCTCACGACATCTCTCATGAGACCAAACTCTGTTATTAATCAAATGCCTGTTAAACCTCTTTATATCATAAGCGGATAAGTCGATGTCAGGTGAGCCTGTAGTGAGCCATTTAGCCATCTGATAGCCAACCCCTCCCGATAGGCTGATGCCGAATGAGTTGAAAGCACTGGCGTGAAAGAAACCCCGGACTAACGGGTCCTCCCCTAGCAGTGGCTTGTGGTCGGGTGTGAACGACTCGGGCCCACAAGTGGTCGCTTTGATCCCAGTTTCGCCAATTATTGGCATCAATTTGGCTGAGTTTTCCAAATGAATGCCAAACTTATCCCAATTGAGATCAAATAGAGTGAACGGCTCTAACGTTGAGATTTTATGGCTAATGAGCACCGGATCCGGTTCGTAGCCACCGATACACAGACTTTTGCCCGACACACGAAATGCAATGGACAGGTCGTGGTCTCGGATATTAGGAGTCTTATTGTGGACGACACCCTCAATTGGCTCTGTTATGACATACGAGTGCTCCATTGTTTCTTGCGGTATATTATCGATTCCTATATAAAAACATTTCATTATTCTTAAGTCAAAATATTTGTCTTATTTAAGGTCTAGTATTTTTATCTAGCTGTTATGGTTATGCTGTATTAAAAACTATTTTCGCTGAATATTATATATAGAGCTATGCATAAAAACACATAAGAAATTGATTAATAAAATAATATTCAGACAACAACTTAAAGGCCAATCCCTGTCAAGAAGAACAGGAAATTATTTTTTAGCTGTGGTTTGGATTGGATTTAAATGGAAAGTCACAGAATAGATGAAAACCAATTGTAAATACATAATTTCCTTCATTGGGCTCACAGTTTACCTCAATTTGATATTTCGTATGAAATTCAAAATTAAATTACACTGTTTTTCATCAAATGAATTGAATTTATATTTTTCTATTGAATTGTAAATAAATTGATATAAAAATTTCCATTTATATTGTATACTAAGAATCAAAAATTTTGAGAAAAATATATTATTGAATAAATTAAATTTTGATATTTATATCATTTAATAAATTATATATGACTTTAAACGATAAATACTTTGTGCGGAAAAATCGCATGAATTCTGTCTATATTTACATAACCTTAACATTCAGTAGAGACAAGAATTTAATGTCTAATAAAATGTCTGGTTATTGAACCATAAGATTGCATTGAAAGTGTTAATAATAATAATGAATACGAGCATTTAGCTACTAATTTGCTACCAACCTGCTAATTTAGCTACGATTGGTGCCCAGACACCGGAACTGTTCACAACAACACTGGTCTCGATGTCATGTCTGAGTCCATTGTACTGAACGCTAAGTTTATTTACTTTGCGTTGTCTCGTATTCAATGAGAAGCAGTCACTGGTATTGATAGCAATCAAACGACATTTACTAAACACTTGAATATTTGCTGCCTTAATAAGCGCCGAGCAATACATATGCGGGTCAACGAAGCCGTCGTTAGGGCTATAGAGACCGCCCGTCAGATCGCTGGTCTTCTCGTCAATCAATGGCTTCAATAAGTCAATCGTTTGACTTTTGTCCAAAATATACGATTCTATGCCATAGTATTTAGACATCCCGTGCAGGCGTTGATATTCTTGCATTCGTGCGGTATTATGAGCTAAAAATAGTCCCCCGTTATTGATCCAACCCGTGGCGTCCACTCCCGAGTGAGACAGCAAACGCTTTGACACCAACTCGTGGGTACGACTCAAGAGATTTATGTCTGTTTCTGATGGCCGTAATCTCCACACCAAACCTTAGCACCAAATATCATGTCTTTGAAAACAATAAAATATATATAATTGTCATGATATGTGTACCATTGGTATGCCATGTCGTGCCACTGGTTATCTCATCTCTTTCGATGACAATCACATTATTATATCCCAATTCATTCAAATGGTATGCCGTCGACAGGCCTATCACTCCGCCTCCTATTTGACAAAACAATGTATTTGATAATTGATTTCAAGTCAATGACAACTGACCCACAACTACAACATCACTAGATTTGGGCAATATTTTAGTCGAATATAGTCTTGAGAATTGTCGGTACATTTATTTTAGACTTTAAATGATACAGGTATTAAAATCTTAAGAATACAATTTTATACTGTATAATATTGATATAAAATATAAATATCAAATGCAATTCAATAAGTTTTACATTTGTTTGTGTTACATAATATAAAAATCAAACATTTTCATTTATTGCACATTCATCGTATATACAAATTATTTTATTTAATGTGATGTTTTTATATTTAATAAAATTTATATAATATAAATATGTGTTTTTTATTAATGCTTTCTCAACACAGAATAATGATTAGATAATTTATTTAATGATAAATTCACTTATAATGTACTGAATTGAGTGTTAGTGTGGTTTATTGACTATAAGAAATATAAACAAATTATTAGGCAATTAATATAAATATAAAACGAGTCTAAATAAATAAATTTAGATGAATTCTGGACAGTGGGCGCATAATTAGGGACAGTTGGGTAGAGGCACTTATTTTTACGATGTTCAGACTTTTTAATGTGTTCCTGACACAACTTCTTGAAAGGACCGATACACGAGGCATAAGATATGGCGTACGGAATGAATGTCTGCTCCACAACCCCTCTAAACAGGTGTCCATTTACTCCCTGGGCATAGACGGGCACGTCTTCGCCCCCATGAGTCTCCCAACGCCGGGGAACCGCCGACTCCTGAATATATTCTTTGTTCGCTATATATATGAATAAATAAATTGACATTAATTTTAAATTTTTTGTTTTCAAATAGATGTGTGAGATATTTTTTCTAATAAACAAGTAAGTTTGAATTGTTACTTTCTCCCATTTTTTTTGGTTTTCTCATTTCATTTTACCCAGACATTAATTTTTAATGAATATTTTTTATTTATAACTGTTGTGAACCCAGTGGTACGGAATATACCGGTGAAGTTAACACTCGACTAGAGTATTGTGTAAAGTATTGTGAATTTCATCACTTCTTGTGATGTATTATGTCTGAAGTGTTGCTTTCCTTTCGGAGTTTGCATTCAATTCTCATTTCTATTACATTCGACAATAGAAGCGATGTTTTGCCACTATTCTCGTTGTCAAAGGTATCCTAACTTTTATTATAAAATTGCAAACATTGTGTTCAATACATAAGAAAAAGTCAAGAAATAGAGTAATAAAAATTCAATTCAATTAAACGGTAAATCCATTCATTGGATTTCTACCTCAACTCAAGCCTAAAAGCTCACTTCGTATTGACATTTATTGTAGAAAAATACTTTATTGTACTGGTTTACTTTGATCTAATGGTTTAAACATATCTATTATGTTATTAGCTCTGAGGACAACAAAGTATTTTTCAATTTTTATATATAACTCTAAACCGATTGAACCGTTAGATTAGGGGTTAGAGCGGGCGGCAGATGTTTGACTTGAATTAGAAATTGAGTGCAATTATTATTGTGAAAGGAATTCAATGTTTATTAACACTATATATCAGCTATTCTTAAGGTTTTGCTTACGTAACGGATAAGTAAACTTCATTAAAGTTTTATTATAATAACAAATTTGTCGACAACTTTTGAGTTGATTTAAAATTTAAATATTAAACAATACGTGTTTATTGGAAAAGTTTTTCAACTTTTATATTCAATTTATAGTTTGCTATTGAATTTATTTTCCATTATTCTGTTAAAACGACTACATTGTACTCATAAAATAGTGTGTTGGCTTATTAAAAATGGTACCGGTAAAACAAATAATGATTTAATCAATTTAAAAAATAATTTGTATTTAACTAAAATTATCTCGTTTGTACAACTAAATTTGCCGGTATATAAAAATTTAATTAGTTTATGCAGTTGTAAATTATTTTCACATTAAATAAACATTAATTCATTAATCATATCATCTGTATTACTAGTAATTTGAAAATTAATTATTTTTAATTGATATAATTTAAATATTTACTTTTTATGTA